GGGCGTTAGTTACGTTCGCTAATATTGACGTAGCGTTAATACTCCAAACCGTAATCTATTATTCCATTAAACAAGATTTCACTCGGGGGAGCATTTAGGAGCGAGCACAATAATTTCTGGCTCGTTCAGGTCGCGCGCGCGAGGCACTCTCGCCGCGCGGCAAAAGCCCGCGAACTTTTCCACGGTGTGCGACCTCCAGTGAATACCTACCGACGCGGGGTTAGCTCTCGTGAAACTTTTTCCGAAGCTCGAGTTTAAATTGAAAGCGAGCTCGCTAAAGCGCGAGTAAAATCGTCCGTCGCGTCAGACGAATTTCCCGTGCGGGCGCAAAGATAATTCCGAAAAAATAAGCGTGTCAACGATCCGAACTGACGTTAAGTAGGATTTCTGTGGCGAAAATCTAGGACTAGGCGACGTTGAAATCAGCTGAAATTCGAAACGTCGAAACTTTCGGTGCATCGCCGGAACATCAACGTTCATGGCCTTCGTGTTCTCCGGAGAATTTAATGGAGAATTTAATTGTGTGGAATAACAATTTATTCGCTTATCGTGTCGAGCGAAATCTATCGGCAAAAAAGAGGAATAGCGGACTATTTTAAACTTTTATTCGTTGAGAACGGAAAGCAAATTTCCGCACGCCAAATAAAACTCGTCCGGCATTTGTAATGCACGCAATGCGATTACCCGGATAAATAGCGGTTTTATTGCAATTACGGCTTTTAATAAAAACGTATGTTGGTAAAACGGGATTTTAATGTGCGTCAGCAAGAGTGCGTCTTTCAGCAAGAGTGAATCTCAAAATCTAAAAACTTCGAAGAATCACGGAAATTATAAGCTGGAATAAAATTATTATTTATATGCTTACATTACTAATACTTCTTAATTTTTCCCGATTATATATTATAAAATCACAAAACTTTATTAAGAAATAAAGAATTTCATAGTCTGATTAAATGTGACAATTCATCTGTCTGACTGAAAGATACTTTTTCATGTAATTTATGAATTTTTAATATGTTTATGTTAGAATTTAATATTTATGTAATAACGTCCAGTATTCAATTAAATGTATTAAAAATTAAACATACAATGTATAAATATTCAATTAAATGCCCAGTTAATAATCTGCCCAGCTAACCGATGTATTTTTTTACGTAATTAATAAATATTTTAATAGCTTTCACGATTATTAATATTTATGTTAATAACATCGTAAATTTATTTTGTTATACAATCTGTTCCGTTGCAATTCGATCTAATTTAACATTAATTTCCTTATTTTGCACTCTAGACTTTATGCCACAAAATAATTTACATATTAAATTCTTAACATAGTAAAATAATCGTTAAATCAAACACAGCATTTATTAAATGTAGTAGTCGTTAAATATAGCATAGCCAGATAAATGCTGCGTATTTACAATAATTGAGTGATCAGTTTTGTCATTATATAATAATCTCCTGTTCTAGATAGATGGGTGAGGAAAATAAAGAATGCTTTCCATTAACGCTGTCAGCCATATTTTTGTAGTTTATTTTATTTAAATCCAGTGGATTTAATACAAATAATAATTGCTACCGAAGCTGATGCTGATTGTTTCGAAATCGAAATTTCGGGCGAGTCTATTTAAAGTTTTTTCATAAAACTGATGTAAACACAACGTCTGATATTTTCAAACAAAAATCATGGAAAAATTGCACGGATAAATATTAGATAAACTCTGGATATATATATTTTAGTTAAAATTGAAAATTGTACGAAAAAAGATGCAAACGTCATTTAAAGGTTGTGTAATTTACGTTTCTATATTTGCGTTTGTTTTTTTTTTGTATGAAATTTAACTTGCTTTATTATATATCGCGTCGTACAAATCACGGAAGATGTAAATATTTTATTCGTTTGCTGCTATCATTCGTCACGCTATAGCAACGGCAAACACGACTAACGAAGTCATGTTTGATTGAGCATTAATTATAACTCGCTCAGATTACATCGAGCAGAGAACAGCATAAACATGTGTCAATACGCACGATTCTTTCACAGCGATCCAATTCACTCGTGAGATTTCGTCGGAGTTATTTCATGCTTCTCTTTTTGTGTTGCCGTATGGCACTCTCGGTACAGACGAGGCTGTATATAACAGTCCAATTAACTGAGAGTCCGGAATCAGCCGGAATCAGTTAACGATAAGAAAGAAACGCGTTTTCCTTAGACTCCGCAAATCTCTCGTGTATTTAATCAGCACGTGCAGACCGTGTAATTGCGCGTGTTACGCAATTCTTCTACTGATAAGAGTGTTACGCGAGCTAACGCGAGCTTAACTCGTTCGTTTCTTATGGAATATAATGCATCAAGCTGTTAATTTTCTCGAAGGAGCAACGTCTTACGCAATCTGGACTCGTTAACGCTCCTGTCGTCCATTAGTCTTGCCTTCTTCTTTGTTTCGAACTTTAAAGATACGCTTGAAAGTGAAATGTAATTTGCGCTGAAAATTATAGTATAGTTTAATAGTATGGTTTTTGGATGTCCAGCTATACACATTCATATCGCAAATTCGAGAGAAAATGACGGCACAAATAATACTTGTGCATCATCAACTTGTTGCTAAGTAATGATATTATAAATTACAATTGTAAGTTGTACAATTTTCAAGAGCTCGATTCTCTAACTAATTGTAAGAGAAACATATGCGTAAACTGAGAGTTACGAACGTTTACATTGGAAAATCTACGTATACGTGTATGGAGGTTTTCAAGTGTAAGCGCTTGTAACTTTGATTTCTGAATTTGCGCATACGTTTCTCTTACAATTAGTTAGAAAATCGAGTCCCAGATATTTTTACAATTTATAATTTTTCAGTATTTTTTAGTTTAATTTAAGACAGTACCTTTATTTCTTTTCTATTTGTAAATTTAAAATTAGAGTTTAATCGATTTTTTCTTTAATGCAGCTTTAAAATCTTTCGAGTTTTTTCTTGCAAAGAAATCTTTGTTTTTCGCGAACATATTTTTGCAAAGGAAGGTAATAAAATTTCAACATTAAATGTTCTTTAAAATGTTGTTAAAACGTCGAATTTTATGTGAAATTCTAGAACGAAGAACGAAGAAGTTTAGTCTATTTGCGTCTCTGAACTCACTATATGAATTCACTACAGCTCTTTAATTTCCAAACACAATTGAGAAGCATCGGCGCTGTTTGAAAGTTTCGACATTGAAAACGAGCAACTGTAGTCTTACTTGAAGTTCCAGTGTCCACGTTGAAGAAAACTTGCGCGACGTCTATCGATCAGAATAATTTTGAATTACCGTTCCTCGTTGGACGTCGCTGCCAGGAGTTCGTCGCGAAAATCGAGGTGTCAACGACATACTTTGCCGTTGCGAACTACGCGGAATTAGCGGCGTAGCGTCAGCAATTTTCCGTTCCGTACTTTTCTCACGGCGATCCCTCATTTTCGCCGCGTTCGGAGCGATGTGACAGCGTAAATTTATCGTTCGTAGCAGCGCAGCGCGGCGCGGCGTCGAGCTTTCTCGCTGGCGGACACCCCGCGTCGCTCCGAAATGGTTTTGCGCTTCGAAAAGCGTGCGGTATCGCGCCCGTCCAGAGATCTGATGCGTCGCACCGAACAACTGCAAGCAAGCCGCTGCGTTGCATGTGCCAGAGCAAACATCATGCGCATGTATTTTTTGTGCAACGCCAACTTTCAATGAGTTAAACACGAGTATATCTCGCGTACGCGTTACTGCAATCCGTCCACGTATTCCGGAAATATGAAATATTACATCGGTACTTTTAATTTAGCACTTTATTTGTATCCGCCTCTCAGATATCAGCCGATTATAAACGTTATTTTTGCGTTACGATTATTTCTTGCAAATTTTAATTAATGTAATCAAAGTTATTTAATATCAAATATTATTTTTTCTCAAATTTCCATTTTGCATAACTTATTAATTTTATAATAATTTTATAAATATATAAAATATATAAACGGATATATTATCCATTAAAATACAGTGGAACCTCGATAACTCGAACCTCTACAACTCGAAAGCCTCTACAAGAAAATTTTACATGAAAATCTACATGAAAATTTTGTTCATTCCCTTCCGCTCCGCTACGGAAAACCTCTATAAATCGAAATAAAACCTACTTTAACTCGAATTATTTGTCCAGTCATTTAGATGTATATTTTACCTCTGTAACTTGAATTTAAAGTAGCCAGACTTCTACAAGTGGAAGTTCACCTCTATAAGTCGAACTTTCATTGTCGCTACCTCTATACAATTCGAAGTTGTAGCTATGTGTAACCGTGAGTAATAGCCTGGTATTTTGTTTTATGGTTACATTTATCATATGTATGCAATAAATAATTCACTGTTTGTGTGAAGCCATTATAATCGGAAAATTATAAACTCTTGTACAAAACCTCCGTAAGTAATTATATGTTAACCCTCTTTTACTCGAATTTCGATAAGTCAAAAACTCTATAATTCGAACAGTTTTTCTGATCCCTTGAGATTCGAGTTATTAAGGTTTGACTGTGATTATTAAATATAATGTTAAAAGTTGAAGAAAGATGTAGAGAGAGAGAGAGAGATAAAAAGAGAGATTGACTTATATTACGAATTATATTACGGATTATTGTAACCGGAAGAACGGTTTCGGCTCTTCATCACAAAATGGGCTCAATGACAAAAACTCGGTAAATTCGACGAGCACGTCAATGTTACGCCAGGCAAAATTTATTCTCAGGTTAGACTACGTGTACGTTTCCATATGCACATCAGCAGAGACATGAAAATCTTATTTTCCCCGTCGAGTTTCCTCCGTGTTATTCACGTTGACGGCCGACTTTTCGGTGCATGATAAACGAAGTTCTCTCCGCGTGCGAACAAACTTTCTCGCTCCGGATACGTCGTACGCGTATTTGTGTGGTAATGGCGGGCGTAGAGTGTCGTTAGTCGAAGGCTGCAGTATTAACCGAATGTTTCTCTTTCAGGAGGACTTGGAACCTCGCGAGGATGCGGGACCGGCTCTCGTGGTACATGGTCTTCTTGATTCTGCCGACAATCCTTTTGGCCAGGTCGCTCGATAAAGGTAAGCGAAGAATAAGAATCTTTTCTCTTCTTGAAATAAGAACATATCTCGCAGCATGTTTCTCTTATTTTAAACATATATAAAAACAACTTGAAATCATAGTATAAATACAAACATTTATATATTTACTTATTAAATGCCTATTATTTGCGAGAGAGAGCAAATTGGACGCACATTAATATGTCCGACATGTTTTTCTTATTAAATTATTCAAGATATGTGTGAAGATAACAATTGCATAAGCTGCGTTAAAATGAGGTTTGAACATCAAATGTACGATTATATTGAATTATGTAAGTAGAATTACAAGTTAGTTTAATCGTCACTATTATCGACATCATTTCTTCGTTGTGCAAGAAAGAGGGGAAATACCAATAATAATGAACACGTACACGAGAGTTAGATAAGATAGAAGATATATTTCATCACGTGAGCGGCATGATAAGCGCGCAGACACGAAACTTGATAAATTCCTAAGCGCGTTGCGTTCGTTAAAAAATGCTAGCAAGATGCCCTTTCTATATATTGAATTGGGGCGTTATATAATGGCACGACCGCGGTTCATAAAGGGAGCTTTTCAAATTTTGCGGAATTATGGAATGCCGCTTATATCGGGTGAAGTGAATAAAGCTTTCGCTTTCAATTGGCATGGAAGTCCGTGAGAATGCCTTTTTCAGCGTCCAATAGAGATATGAATAATACCGTCCTATCGATTATAACATAATTACAATAATTTGTAATGATATGAATTTGCAATAATTTTTCATGTCGTGTTTATTTTCTTTTTCGAATGCTTTTACGCATTTATATACATCGTGGAAAATTGGAAAAAGTCAGATAGAAAAGATATTTCCTCGCGCGAGGAAGCGCAGTGCTCTTAACGTTAAAAGCTCCTTAACGTTAATCGCAGGTGAAATTTGAATGAGGCGCTCGAAAAGTTAACGCTTGAATTTACATTTCGCGGTACAGGTCGCATTAGGGCGCATTACGTTCATAAAGTATTAATCTCATCTAAGAGAAGCGATATCGCGAGTAGTCTTCTAATAATTACTTCCTTACCAATTATGCCGAGGTAGAGTGCAAATTACGCATATTATTTCATTTCGTGTTCTGATGCATTACTGCCTGAGATCGAAATATCTGCCTATTTTTTTTTTTTACCTTGATATCAATCGTTTGGCGTGCATGTAATTACTTTAATTTAACGTATTCATCGCCATTATAGCGTAATGAATGCATTTATAGCCACAGTTACAGCAGACTTGAATTCACGTTACTAAAAAGGAGATAGTCGAACGAGAAGAAAGATGATGATATGTAAATATTTAATTTCAATTAAGGTTTTACAAATTGCGAATAAAAATGAGGTTAATCAATATTCATGTACATACATTAAGAGATATAAAAAATTGTGCCATTTGTAATTTAGTAAAAAGATTATTACATTTTTTAATTCTCTGACATTCTCGATTATTTTAAAATGTTAATATGTAAATTCTTTACTTTGGTTCAGGCCGTAGACTTCTTGCAAAATTATCTCTCTCCGAGAATTACATCGGCGAAGCATGCAATATTTTTCTACGAAGATATTTGGCTTACTTACCTCTAAAAATGTACACTAATAATAGGACGCACTGAGTAAATTGCGCTAAGGTAGATAATTCTTCACGTGTGATGAATGTACCGACATTCGAAAGAAGACCGGTAGAAAATAAGAGAGCCCACGTAAAGATATGTCGGCATGTACGTCGCGGATAATCCCGGAAAACACTTGCAGATAGAGGGCGAAATAAAAAACCCGCGGCTAAAAATTTTATTCTCTCCCGTTTACTTCTCCAGGAAAAATAACTTGCCCGCGCGGTGTGGTAGGCGGATATATATTCGTCTTGAGAGAAATCCTTTTTAGCGCGCGAAACCGTCTTGCCGGTTTACCCGTTTGCGCATATGCCTGTGTGCACATCAAACATCGAATTTCCAAGCGGAAACGGAGAAGCGAAAATACGAAAGCGAAAATGTCATGTACAAAAAGTTGAAGCCAAAATAAGTCACGGGCTAACGTTTTTTTTTTATCTACTTGAAATGTTAAATATTCATGACTCGCCGTATTTTAAATTTTTGGGGAAACTAGGACACTACTTTGGAGAAGCTAACGTCCAAAGTTATTTTGAATCAGTCGCATTTTTATCACTTTTAAAATAAATCTGATGTATAACGATATAGTCATATACATATTCGCAAACGGCACTTGGAATTTAGTTAGTCAATGAAACTTTTCAGAGACAAAAAATTGCGAATCAAAGGGGAAAGAGAGAATACGGATATGTATGCGTATCGAAGCTTTTAACGGACACCTGTTATATGTAAACGTGACGAAAGTGCACTTCTAATTAAAATTCTCAGCATTACGCGATGGAGTCATCTTCAAGTGCAACAAGAATCGCTCGTTTATTCCGAACTCACGCGTGCATGCTTGTATATATATACACGTACGGCCATCGTGCGAGTCATTAGCGGCGAGAGAAAGAGGAAGTTGCTGGAAGCGCAAGAGAAAGCTCGGCGGCGGAAATATGGAAATACGTGGAAGATGCGGTACGTGCGCAAAAATAGCGTCATGCATTTTCCAGTCTACTGCTCGTTAAGGCACGGTGCGCGGTGTCTGAAGTGAGATTTTCATCAATGCGCCGCGTTAGAGCCACGTCAGAAAAGGAAAAGTGGATGCACACTCGCTTGGTCAGCCGGTTGGCGAAAGAAACGCTTGCCGGGATACGGCACGAGAGAAGAAAAAAAACCGCGTGCGAGTAATACAAGCAAATACGTTCCAACAATGTGTGAAAAGAAAAACGTGGTCTTTCGGTCGGTTGACGAATGATGAAAACGAGGCGAGAGGAAGCACGAAAGATTCGTAAAAATGATGAGAGGGACATTTTCACGAAGAGTGGGAAAACACACGTGGCTTTGAATATTTATATTAGATAGTGACAGCGCCATGCATGCCGCATCGCTATAAAAGCGACACAGCGAAATAAATTTAGAAGGTACGCTTTTCTGGTTCTCTTACCTCTTTCTTTATTCAGACGTTTCGCGTACGAAGATTTTTATTAATGTACATTGTCATTACTTCCTCATGGTATCCTCGCAGACGGAGGAAAGAGAAAATAAAAATGTGCGATATTTTTTAAAGCTGTTTTAGAATGTCGCGGCAGTATATCTATTTGTGTTGCATATTCTGCAAAGACCTCACACTCGCGACGAATTATTAATCTTTGCATATTTTGTGTCAAATTACTTTCGTTCTTTATCCGCGCTGACAAAAATAAAATACATCAAGTTTATGCATGAGAAAGAAAAGAAATCTTGTAACACAATTTTGAAAACGCCATATTATTCAAACAGCACACGAACGTAAATAATATCGTTGCACTGCGAGACAATTAACGAACGAATGAAAAAATCCGTGTTGCCTGAAATATTATCTTTTGACTGATAAAATTAATTGAATAACCTTTTTTCCCTGCATATTTTGCATCATGACGAACGAAATAACTAAAGAATTTAACGTTAGTCACAATCCGACTGCGATTGTTTTTACGCATAGCAACCGAATATAGTGATTTATATACGGCTGACTAAAAATGTTAAAGTGAGAACGCATTCCATAATGCGCGACAATAATAATTACGTGTGCATCCTAATCGTGTTTGCAGTCATACGCATGTCTATCCACATTCTTCACCAAAATCCATGAAATTGTTTCCATACCTTGCATATAGGCATGCGTAACCGTCAACACGAAACGCATGGTATGTGGACACAGTGTAGGCTTGGAATTAGAAAAGTGTAAATCTTTACTGCTTACTGGCATTCTCCATATAGTTTTCTTTTTATTTTTCCATTTAATAAGAGATTCTTTCGAATCTTTAATTTAAATTATTTACGAATTCTTTCGTTTTTCGCTCTTTGTTCCATCAAATCATTTACATGAACAAAATTTTAATAAATGCGTGTGAAATTGTTTGCATCTTTTTTTGCTGATAATGATAATGTAGATAATTAATTCTTTTAAATTTGTTGGTAACGAAGAACTATATAGGAATTAATGAAACATAATAATGGTTGGATATTACATAAAAATCTTACATTTATTTCTGCACAGTGATTTATTTTTGTCTTTTGAATACCCGAAAGTAATTTATATTTAACATCTTAATGCTGTACCGTGATATATGTCGGGAGGTCTGGGCCACATGAAATCACATTCCGAAATCGTGCTAGGGAAAAAGTTATGTCAGTCGGATATTTTGTTGCGATTGTTTTTAATCGCGGGTACACCCCTCTTTCGCGATACGAATTTTACTCGACGCTACTCAACGACTCTATAAAGGTGTCGCGTTTGTTTTTTCGAAACACATATAAGAACGAGTAAAAAAAGGTGGGAGGGAAAGAGAGAGAGAGAGAGAGAGAGAGAGAGAGAGAGAGAGAGAAAGAGAATAAGTAATGGCCGCGCGATAATCAGCAATACTGGAGAACGTGTACGCGCCCGTAGGCTTGTAGACATGCAACTCCCTGCCACAATAAAAAGGATTTTTCGTGCGTGCAGATCGTCGTCCACTAGGCGAAAAGGAAGTATTATTCAGGCTTACGTGATGGCAGTTTAAAAAAGACACGCGATAAGAGTAGCATGGCTTCTTTGTACTGGTGATTACAATAGAGGAGTATTTCTATCGTTACGATGAAAGTCTTGTTTTATTCTGACGAGTGTTATATCATTTGAGGATTGCAATTTATAAAAACGCGATCGCTATCGCGAACAAGAACATAATTATAATTTTATAGCGAAAAATATCTTACGATATCTGTCGATGTTTTAATTTACGGATTATATTATATTATTCCAAAATTATAGTAATTTTCCAAAGATATCTATATTATAATATTATTCCACATTTACTAAATTTTAATATTAAAAGGATAAAATTAATATTTTAATTATCATTAAATAA